CCCCCCCTCCGATTGTAAGATAAAGTATCACAATGTTAAATAAAAATCTCCCATTTTAAGATAAAGTGTCCTATTGTAAGAAGATAAAGTGCCCCATTATCAGATAAAGAGTCCCAATACAATTTGAAATTGTTATGTGCCTTTTGAATAGCAATTTCGCTACATTTTCAAGTTGATAATAATAATATTATGTTCGCTTGAACTATTTATGTTTATATTTGAGGTTACTGCGTGTCTTTTGGAGAGGTCCCCTACGCACGTTGTACACGTAAGAAAATCCCTTGGTGGATCTAAAATCGATAAAAGCAGAATATAGCAGACATCCAGGCAAAATTCAAAATATTTTTTTACTGAGCTGAAAATGTTTCATGTGCCTCTCGCTTTCATATGACCGCATGCTGTTTTGAGCGACGTAAGACACTTACCCCCCCCCCCCCCCCCCCCCCCTTTCCCAAATAAAAAAGAACCCCCGAAGAAATTAAAACATTGTTTTACCAGTACATGTACAATGTACAACCGTTGCGTCACATAACTTTATCCACTAAGACGGTTTTATAAACTCAAACAAATAGAGCACATAATAAAACTGAAACCAGAGTTTGATTCCAAGTATGGCATACAGAAACGTCACTGTTCACAATATTATGCAATAATATAATATACAGTCCAGTACAAAGCAAATTACATACATATTAAATATTGTCGCTGTCTGGCAGTGTTCATGGGGAATCTGGACTTTTCAGACAGACAAACACACAGACAGACAGACATACTGACAGACAGATAGACAAACATACAGACAGACAGACATACAGACAGATAGACAGATAGACAAACATTCAGACAGACAGATAGACAGATGTGGCAGCTCCCATTGTCCACAGTGTATCACCAGACAGCAAAGAAACTACTACTGCGATTTTTCCATCTCGTCTGTCATGGCCTTTGCCTTAAGCAGGCCTGTTGACCCAGATTGTTGTGAAGATAACAAGTTGTTCGAAAATGTGTGAGCGAAAGAAGCGGCTGACAAAATGAGTTACTTCTCGGATTCAAGCCCTATGGAAATAGATACATCACGCTATTTATTTATACAGTATTATAGATCTGTGTCATATCATTATCATCATCATCATCATCATCATCATCATCATCATCATCATCATCATCATCATCTTCATCATCAATACCTTTCACCACTGGTAGGGTATAGGCCACATAAAGTGGCGTTGGTAGCCTAGTGGTTAGGCTACCGGACTCGTGATCGTGAGATTGCGGGTTCTTGGATTCGAGCCTCAGTTCGGCCCGACGTTGTGTCCTTGGGAAAGACACTTTACATGAACTTCCCACTTGGCTCAGTCCTATCGGAGACAGACGTAAAACTAGGAGGTCCGGCCCCTTAAATAACCTAATAGTGTTGATAGGGGCGTTAAACCCACACCATATAGGCCACATACAAGCTCCTTCCTTTTATCTTTGTCCTGGGCCATCCTTCCTAGCTCGTTCCAAGTGAGCTTCATCTCTCTTATGTCCCTTTGCACGCATCTCCTCCATGTTTCTCGTGGCCTACCGCTGCCTCATGTATCTGAGGGGCGTCGTCATATGGTATAGCCTCATGTACACACAGAAACGGAGTAGCTATGAAAAATGGTATAAGTATGATTTTAATGCTTTCATCAACACTGTTAGCCTATTTAAGAGGCAGGACCTCAGATTTTTACCTCCATCTCCAAAAGGACCGAGCAAAGTGGGAAGTTTGTGAAAGGTTCCTTTTCCAAGGACACAACGTCGGATTGAGTTGAGGCTTGAACTCCCGAACCTGAAACTTCACAATTACGAGTCCGGTAACCTAACCACTGGGTCATCGACGCTACTGAAGTAATTCTGTGCTGATCGGTGGTGGCTCTATGTCACGTATATTACATAT